ATTTAGACATACTCAGGTCTGTTATCTTTGCATTGTGACCAACAGTGAGGAGTATATTGCTGGCCTTGATGTTGCGATGAATGATTGGAGGCCTCTTTGAGTGAAGATAATCGAGTCCATTAGCAAAATCAAGGAGGATCGCTTCTTTATTAATAGCTACTCTTCCCTCTATTAGCTGCAGCAGAGAATAAGGAAGATACTCCATTACCAGCATTGGTAATGGTGTGGAACTGCTAGGATAATGAACACCGAACAACTTTACAATATTGGGATGATGCTGTTGTCTGTGAAGGATGATCGCATTACCAAACTCACATAACAGGCTATCTTCCTATTATTGAAATAAAATAATCTAATTGCTTTAGTGTAGTGTAGTGTTTACCATGGCTAAAAAATTATTTAACTTCTTTCCTGCACATTGAATTCCATTGACTCTTAGTTCATTGACAACTCCAAATGATCCACGACCCAACTCTATCCTTGTCACCCTCACTCTTTGCAGTATCAGAGGTTGAAGCTTCACCTGTAGCTCTGCTGCCATTTTGTGTCTGATTGTGTTCACACCAAATTCACCAATGCAGTTCACTTCATTCATTTCATTTATGGGTGGGGCACCATCTGGTTAATTGCAATATTATAGCACACTACTTTTTCTTTATTTTTAAGCTAAGTCTTTGGACATCATTTATTAATCAAATTGTATATATACATGTATAAAGAATAAGTATAACAATCACTAAATTTGCCCTAGAAATTACATTAATGTAGTTTCCTATCACTTCATGCTCCTTCACCTGCAGGCTGCAGTCTTTAAATGTCTCATCATCACAGTCACATAATAGCCTCATTTCATTCTTATCCTTATTCCTTAATACCCATTAATAATGTGGTGATATTATTAGTGTACTTTAATAATTTATATTGTGTTATCATGATACACTATTCTTTATTGGGTGTTGTATCAAATTATTTCAGCTCTACTGATAAGTCTGACATTAATCAGTGAATAAGACAGTCTCTGTTGCTCCTCATCAGTCCACTACAACATACAGTTATACATTAATAGGTCTGTACAGTGGTATGAACTATACCATCACAGTGAGAGCTGGTAATATATACTAGGAGGATCTGATTCTAGTTTAGTCAATAAAAGATGTATTTAAGTTTTAAGTCATAATTATTATAATTCACACGTGGTGTACAGACCCATAATGATGTACTTCATCCTGGGTTTTTTGCTTTTATTTCTACCAATTATTAATCTTACTTGGAATTGTTCTCAAAGTAGCTAATAGTCTAAATACATGCTACAGGACATTATTATCAATAATGGCAGTATCACATATAATATCACCATTACCTACCGAGAGATATTATCATGTTGAATGATCTAGTATTTGATGAGTATAACATCAGTGTAGCTGTTGTCGATTCTATTTGAAGGTACCTAGCTGGTCCAGTTGGTTTGTTATCCATGCATTGTCCATAGGGAAAATGGGCTATTATTGTTAATGGACCCTAAAACTGCCACAATCATGCATCAATTTGCTTCCAACATTGCTATTGCTCTGTTAATTGGTGTATTGTGCATTCTACAAACTGTCAGTGTTCTTATTCATAACATTGGCTTTATAAGGTACAGTTTACCAGTACATTTTATTTTTTTAGAAGGAAACGTCCAAATACTATTAGCAAGCAAAAAAAGATAGTTTATTCTGATGATAACTGCAGGCCGGCCTGTGAACCAATATGAAATTAAAATGAAGGAGTATATTTTGAATGTCAAACATCACCTGAAGATATTTATAAATTATCCATTACCAGAATGAATTTTCTACAACAGCGTAATACTATCTGTTAGTTAATTTGCCTGAAATAGAGAATACGTAGTTTTGTGTATACTGAACTCTTCCTCACATTTGCTTAATATTGTATTAAGCATTATTATGCTAAATTTTGGAGTTGTTTCATGCAATTTGGATGTTGTGTTAGTATCATGTAATTTCTAAATTAGTATTGTCATAGTCAAAACTTGCTCATCATAACTATATGAGTGAAAACCAGTGGCATAGCCAGGGTTATGATGGTGGTAGGGCACACTATGGACAAGTGAACTTCACATACAATTTATAGACAAGAGAACAGTCAGAACACTATGACAGTTGGTAGGGCACAAGCATAGACTGGTAGGGCATGTGTCCCACTGTGCCCTACCCTGGCTACGCCACTGGTGAAAACAATAAACAAATGACATAATGCACCACAGTCACCGCATGTATACTCAGCAGTTTATCTCTGAAGATGGTTTCATCTCTATTATTGTCTACTGTCTTTTTGTTGAGTGTGAATAAAGTTATTAGTCAATGTCCACCTTCCTC